AATTTAAATTATGTATGTGTGTGTGTAGCTTTTGTTTGATGAAAGGAAGAGGGACTTTTTAACAGTGTCGATACATATATATACATATATGCCCATCACTTTATATATATTTTTGGCATATAGAATAAAACTAAACATAATAAAAATTTTGATAGAAAGTAATAATTACGATATTCTATTTAAAGAAGTACCAAACGAAATTATAAATCAATGATTAATAATTGTGAAGAAATGACAAATATTAAAATGGGACCAGGCCACTCCTATTGGGCTTGATAATTACAAAATAAATGTTGAAGAGTTTGTTGGGCCTAATTTCAATGTTAGATCCATTATTTGACGAGTTGGCTCAGTTTGGAGGAGCTTGTTCGCTGAATGTCCTTTTGAATAAAATACTTGAAGAACATGAAAGTAGCCTTGGTTTTATCTAATAATTAGAAAGCAAATTAGAATATATATATATATATATATAAAATTTAAGATATGTCTAAGTGGCTGGAGCTATTTTATTGAAATAGACAATCTTTAAACACATACTTAATATAAAAACTTGGTAGGGAATGATAAAAAGGTTTTAATTTTTTCGGTCAAGCACTACAAAATATATATATATATATATATATATATATTAGAAACGGTAATTAGAAACAGATTTGTATCCCTCTCTACTTGCGATATCCTTCAAGACGGAATATAAATGTAGAGACAGATTTAATACAAAAAAATAATTAAAACCATAGCAAGGAATTTAGAGACAGATAATATGTGTCTCAAAACAAGTTGTCTCAAATGTTGTCTCTACAAATTAAAAATTTTAATTGAAAAGTATAAAAATGCTAGAGACACATTTAGATGTAATAAGTAAACCATATCTAAATCTGTCACCAACTCTAATTTAAAAAAAAAAAAAGTTTAGAGACAACATCTAATATGACCATTTTTTATATAATTAGAGACCAATGTAGGGCCATCTCTAAATCTATCTACAATTATAAATATTTTTCACATTTTTTTTTTGTTTTTGTAGTGATGGATCTAGAGGCGAATAAATTTAATTCATAGATAATTGCTAGCCCCATCTATAATTTTTAAAAATATTTTTGTATTTTATTAGCTTAGCATTAGAGATAAAATCAGAGAAAAGTAAAGTAAATATATTAGAGACCAACAAATTATCATCACTAAATGAATCTCTAATTCTAATAAAAGACAAAATTAAAAATGACTTGTATTTTTTATTTTTAACTTTTGAATCCATCAATTTTTTTGATACATGTCTGGGGATATTACGATGCAAATTGACATCAAAGAAAGTATAAAACTTTTGACCCTTATTCAATGAGCTTCACACTCAGGAAGAACAAATAAATCTTATGCTTTTGAATGGTTACATTGGTGTGACTCATGGACTGTTGTCATATCTTATAGGCAACCTAGAATTAGGCTCCTTATATTTCTATCAATATGTCCCAAGTTATGTTATTTAATGCTATTACTAATATTTGATGTAGGTTCTAGAATTTTTTCACTTAGAAATCGATATATGAAATTGTGTTCAACTATGTTCAAAATTCTAACAATTATTTTATTGATATATAGTATAACATAAAATTATATAAATAAAATAATAATTAAGTTATTATAAATAGAATAAAGTATTACTATATATATAACATATTTATAATATTTAAAATTTTAAATTCGTTCCATATTAAATAATAAATAAATATGATAAAAAATAATTTTGTTTAAAAATAATTTTTAAAAGCAAAAAATTATATATGTATATTTAATATAAATATTTTGTATTTAAAAAATTATTAGTATTCATTGAAAATTTAAAATTGTTCAAAATGACAATTAAAAAAAATTATATTGTTAAAATTAATTTTTTCATTAAAATAATTTTGAAAACTATTTAAAAATTATAGATAACATTTATTTGTAAGAAAAGAATGGGAAACATTTAACCATTTTGGGAGAAGATAAAAATAAAATCATTTATTTATTAATATTTTTAGATTAATATGGAGAAAATAAAAGTAAAAGATATTTAATATAAACTAAAATAATACATATTTTGAAATAAATTATATACTTAATTATTGTCATTTTAAAAAAATATTTTTAAATTAAAAAATTTTCATTTTAAGTTCATTTTCCAAACAAAAATCATATTTTATTAAAAAATAATATAAATAGTTATATAAATAATTTTATCATATTAATAATTGAAAATAAAATAAAATATATGTATATGTGTTTAAAATATATTATTTTGTATATATGTATGTAGTTAAGTAACATATATTTAATTTTACATATAATAACTATAGATGCATTTTAGTTTAACTCGTAAAAGAGAAGGGCTTAAGAAAGGTAGGGAGGTCAAAGGATCAAACCTTAGCCTTAATATATTTGTAATAAATATGTGATGTGACACATGGTAGAAGTTGACATGGCATGAAATAGTGACATGAATCATCATGTGGCATTAGTTGACCTACACATAGGCAGGTGAGTTAGTACCTGCAAATGCACACATGGCCCTTGAAGTGTCAAGTGATGTGGCATTGACTCATTTCACATGTGGCAGGTGAAGTAGTACTAACATGGCAATGGAAACCTGAGAAATTTAATTTTTATTTTTTAGAAACCGATTTAGAGATTATTTTATTCTATTTCTATTATTTTATATAATTTTTAAAGCATTTTATAGCAACAAATTATTAAGGAAAATTAAAAACGGCATTTTTTATTTAGAGAGAGAATAAATCCGTTTCTAATTAGCATTGGTTTTAAAAATTTATTTTTAATTATTTAACAACACTCCTTTTTAAAATACTGTAATATTTATCTTTAAATTCATCTCTATTTGTTTAGAGATGGATTTTTTTACTAGTTAAAAACGGATTACTGAGTGTTTCTAAACAACATTTTTTGTAGTGAAGGAAGGATATAAAGTTGCAAAAGTGTTGGTTGATTCTGATAAGGAAGATTAAAGTTCTTCGTATTGGACAAATATATAATTATCTCTGGCTCGTTATTTGGAAGATTAATGTTTTCATTAAGTTATTTTTTTCCCTGTGGAGAGTTTTATCAAGTGCAACACCAACTTGTGAATTACTCCCCCTCCCCCCCAAAAAAAAATACTTTTGAGAGATATTTGTCATTTTAAAATACAAGTCATTTTAACAAAAATAAAATCTCATTGATAATGTTATTTTAATACTACTATTCCTAATATATTATTTCTCTCCTTAATATTGCTTCACAAATAAAGTTTTAAATTAAGAAGATTTTTAAAAATTTATATTTTTATTTTAAAAAAATAAGATACTAAAATATATTTAATGAACTTTATTGATATGCATGAGTTTATATAAAAGTATCTTATAAATTATAATGAAGAGAGAATTAAACAAGAGGGGTGGTAAAGATTAATGAGATGCGCATTGATCTTTAAGTATGTAGAATCCACTGTATCATTTTTTTTTTCCTGGTGTGATTGGGTTAAATTAAAGCCTCTTGGTTTGGCTGTTGTTTGTCAATTAGAGTTGATGAAAACAGTTTTGCATCAATTAAGGAATGGCTGGCTATGATGTTTCTTGGAAATTAAATGACTTAGATGAATGGCAGAAAGCTTTTTTGTTGATCTAATAATGGCGTGACAAAGGAAGATGCTCCTATGTTTATGATATACTCCCTGTGGCCCAATATGGTAGAGAGGGAAGATTTTTTTTATCCTATTTATAAATCATCTTATTAAATTTTTATTGCAAAAATTTTTTCATTTGACTTTCATTAAATGTTAGTAAGATAAACTATGTTGTTAAAATATACATATTTAATGGGAGGTAAAGTTAAGAAATTATCAAATTTCTTGATGGGGTTAATAAGTTTTAAACTTTTTCATGATTCTAGTTAAATATATCGAAAGTGTTTTATAAATAAAATTAGAAGAGTAAAGAAAAAAATCGAAATCCAGAATTTGTAGTGCAAAACGTTAATCAGATTTTGTCTGAATTTTGGAAATGCATCTAAATGGAGTCATGATTCGAGTAATATATGGAGTGTTGAAATGAATCTTCTAATAGCCATGTATTTACGGTCAACTCCGTTTTGTTTTTCCAGTAGTATAATAAGTAAACTCTAGTTCTCTACTAATAGCATAAATTATCTCCCTTAAAGTACCACAGGCAAATGGCAAACCTCTCCCAATTAAATTGGTACATACACAATAACTTTATCAATATTTATGTACACATTGGACATAATTAATAGAAAAACCCTGACAATCTACAGTTCTCTCTCTCTCTCTCTCATAGTTTCACGAGTTCAATCAGTTTAATTAACTTAGTAAAAACCTTAGTTAATCCCGTAATTAATTTAATCAATTTTATTTTAAATTTTAAAATGTTACAAAATTTAAATTTGAATAGAAAGCGGCCATTGGATCATAAAGAAGGGGAATGGCTCACTAAAAGTGATATCTTGACTCAATCAAACCAAACTCAACAAACTCTGCAACAGTCAAAAACCTCACTTTTACACGGCATCTTTCCTACTCTAGGCCAATTAAATTTGTTACTTTGATTTTCAACTTCAGTCATCAAAGCACCCCATTTTATAAATTTTTATTCACTTCAAAACTATGAATGGCTACTTTCTCATGAAATCATTTATTCTTTAAAACTTTTGATAGTTTATGCACTTTAAAAAAATATCATGATAAATAATCATGAAAACTCACAATTATTGACTCTCACACACATTGAGAACGTAAATTTTGTGGCATGCTGGAACTTGCAAGGAGCAAGACACTCAAGGAATTTAGCCAATAAATCAGTTTTTTAATATTTCTTTTTGCTAATATAGTCATGATTTTCCAATATTTTTTTTTTGATTTCATTTTAATATTCCCATGTGACTTCATTGCTTAACCATAAAAATAAATGATAAGGGTATTTTCTTTCTCTTTCCCTCTAAACAAAGAAAGTGTCGTTTCCTTTTCCGTCACCTCCCTTCTTTCCCCTTTTTTGAAATCCCTCCAAACAAATATGTATATCCCTCTCTTGCCCGACATTTCCATCAGCCATTTGGATTAACAATTCATTTGTAGTTTTACCATCAAAGCACCCCGCGCGAAATAGCTGCTTCGTTGATTGCGGCTCTGTTCTTCATCGGAGCTCGAGTTGCTTGAGAAGCTTTCGACGAACCAAAACGGAAGCCTCGTTATACATCGATTCTTACATTCTCTGGTGAGTTCCCTCTTTTTCTGTTTTAATTCTCCAGTCCTTTACTTGGTTCGAGTTGATTACCATTCTTTCCTGGATCTGGTTTTCGACACAAATTTTATACTAATACAATCATTTGTTTTTTTTTGGTATAGTACTGACACTTTGTGTGTACATTGCTCCTCGATGAATTAATTGGAGTAGTTAATTAACTTTTGAAATGCATTATAATATGAAGGAGACGAAATCAGCCTCCATTTGTAAACTTGCCCCTAAGCCCTATCTTAGCTTGTTTGTTTTGTTTTGTTTTGTTTTTTTGGGATGCACCCATAGTTGAGAATTCTGCAGCTGTTTGTGCATTTTTGCGAGCATAAACATACTATTATTATTTCTTAGGCACAGGGGAAGAGGTACATTTGAATGAAGATGTATATTATGCCCTCTATTGAATGGATATCTGTGGTTGTTCAGAGACAAATTGAGCATTTCTCGTTAGAAAAAATTAAAATCGTTTTTGAGACGAATGGATCATCTTTCCTATAGCATAATTATTTCTTTTAATCAGAAAATGGTTACCTTTAAATGCATGGTGAGGGAATGGATGATTTTATATGAAATGTAACTAAATTGAATGACACAAATTTTCAGTATGGTTATTAAAGGTTGATGTCTATGGCTTGAACTTCTAATTTACTTAATAATTATTAAGAATGAGTTAAAATTAATATTCGATTAGAATTAAGTAATTAGATTATACATATTATAATTATTAATATATAATATAAATAAATTTATTAATATAAATTAAGTATGACTAACTATAAATAGTTATTTTAATCATTTTAATTATATTTTTTTAAAAAATAAAATAAATTGGAAGTTGGTATCATAGCCACGAATTTCTAATAACCATATTATCCTTATTGCTTTATGCCAATGGCACCAATTTTGATCATTTGTAAGTAGGAAAACATTTTAAACAAACTCGTCTTCTAGCTCACCTATTTCTACCAAAGTATAGCATAGGCTATGTGAATCAATTGCTTCACAAATTATTTCATAAAATACAGTTTAGAAATACAAAACAATTCAACTTTAGTGCATGAGTTAGAAAACAGTACACGTTTAGAAGAACATATGCTTATCTCGTCAATTTTAATACTAGGATGTATGCTGTATGCATCAATCTAATTCTTAATTCTTGGGACTTCGACCCGAATCATAATTTGAGATCAAATCACATGATCATTGCTTCCCCATCTCAGTACCCCTGCCAAATGTCTGTCTACCACTCTTGGGTGATGCCTTTAGAGTGCATCCCCACTAGAATAACAAGGACTTGGATTTTATTCAGTATCAGGTTTTTCAAAAGATCAACAGCTGACAAAAAATTTCAGACAACACACAGGCCATTCATTTGCACATAGACGCAACCCTTTGTGTTGTTAAAGTGAATAATATAGAAGTTCCTACCCTTTCTTAAAACCTGAAAGCTTGACTTGAGCTTCCTAATGTTTTGGAGGATAGCATCAAGCTGATGATGGGGCAGGCCCTTGTCTATTATTGTACCTTCATAGCATGAGCTCCTAAAACTCCTTGTGGTTTCAAAGGCTATTGAGTCTATGCTAAGGACCATGCTTTCTCATGGGGTTAAGTAAAGGTGTGATTGATGTTCAAGTTACCATTTTCTTTATAAGTATAATGCTTGGAAGATGAGATATTTGGTGTTTTGGGGATCAACAGTGGCGGCTGGGAACAATGATAGGGTTTATCAAGGAGGAGAAAGATCGAGAATGGTCTCATAGCCATTATTCTTTGAATGCAGAGAGTGGAGATGAATCAGAGAGGCCATCAGCAAGTAGGTTATTGGTGCAATGAGAAAGAGAGAGTTGATATGAATGGATTCTTGAGACATGTGCAGTGGTTAAATAGCATGTAATGAGAAATGATTATGACGTGCAACAGGACACACGGAGACACACACAGATAAGCTGGGGGCTTAGATTGAGTTTTTTGGGTTAAAAGATAGATGATAGTAGCTGAGAAATACATTAGGTGAATGTGATCTTCTTGATAAGGCTGAGTGATTATGGACTAAAAGTTTGCAAGGCTTATAACGAAGTGTTACCAATTTCAAAGCTTTAAGACAGGTCAAAATTTCTCTCAGACAGGTTCAGCTGTTCAATGGTCAAGTTTTGTTGTTGGGCCTCTGTTCTTATAAGATGTTTGGGTAAAAACATGAGAGAAAGAATAGGCAGTTTTGACTTATTATAATGGCCAATAAGGGATTGATATCTGATTAAGTTTTGAATTATTGGGAATTGTAGCTTTCATGCAAATGATGATTGTGGAAGGATTCGGGTTCAATGAGTTAATTAACAGTATGGTTTGCAAATTGCTAAGAACTACATTCCTATTTAAATTTTTATCTGTACCATTGAATGGATTGATTGGAAGTATATCCTCCATAGATTTTGAAACATGGCAGTGCCTGAATTACAAGGAGCCAATTTAACATTTACAATTACGTTTTCACACAGGAGTTAATATTACATTGCTCAATTCCTAAAGGCACTACATAGTCGTGATAAAAGAAGTCATTGAAAACATGATTAGAAGTGAAATAACAGGATAGTTCTACCTACCCTGGATGTTTGTCGAATAGTTCTACCTACCCTGGATGTTTGTGATAGTGACATGATAATTGGAGCTAGATTTTTGTTGATTTTGGGAACTCTCTGCAAATGCAGCCTGCCAATTGATGAAGGCTGGTTGCTTGGGGAAAGGCAAATTGACAATCTTGCTGTGCAGCATTAAGATGACAGAATCCATGGTAGGTCGGTCTTTTGCAAATTCTTGCACGCACAATAATCCGATATGTATGCATTTCATCATATCCTCTTCAAACTGTGGGTTATGTATCTTAGGATCTATTAAAGGCATGATATTCTCTTCATTCCATAGTTTCCATGCCTGAAAACAGAAAATAACCATGAGCTTTAGATGTTAACTCTAATATATGAAAAGGTTAAATTTTAGAAATACAATATGTACAAATCCTATTAGACTTAGAGCTTGCTGATCATTGTAGAAGCTTGTGTTTTTCCTCCCACTAATTGTCTCCAATAGCAAAACTCCAAAACTAAAGACATCTGATTTCTCAGAGAAAATGCCTGTTATTGCATATTCTGGAGGCATATAGCCGCTGTACTTGCATTTAAACATTGAAGCAGTTAGCTCTTGGAGAATATTGGATTCCTATGCTAAATACAACGAGAAAGGTTAACTTACTATGTTCCAACTACTCTTCTTGTATAGCCTTCATCTTTGCTAACTCCAAAAATCCTTGCTGTACCAAAATCTGATATTTTAGGATTTAGCTCTTGATCCAATAAGACATTACTTGCCTTGAGATCTCTATGTATAATTCTTAGTCTTGAATCTCTATGAAGATAGAGCAAACCTCGAGCAGTTCCTTCTATTATATGATAACGCTTTTGCCAATCAAGGACATCTTGTTTGAGTGGACCTGCAATATATGCCAAGTGGAAAATACGCTTGTTGAATCACCAGAAACTAATGTTGAGGAAACTAGAATCTACAACAATGAAGCAAGTATTCCCTTTTGCTTCCCTAACTTATGTGCATATTTTTAACTAAAATCCTCTTTTCGTGAAACTGCTGTTTGGACACTTATAAAGAAAAGTAAAACTTACTAACCAAAGAGATATGCTTCCAAACTTTTATTTGGCATGTATTCGTAAATTAACATCTTTTCACCTCCCTCTACACAGCAACCAAGAAGTCTCACAAGATTGCGATGCTGAAGCTTAGAAATCACCACTACCTCAGTCATAAATTCTTCATGGCCTTGTCCTGTTACACTTGAAAGTCTTTTAACTGCAATTTCTTGTCCATCTTGCAATTTTCCCTACAAGAATATTTTTAAAACCTTTTGATAACCTTTGTAAGTTCATGGAAGATGAGCTTTATGAGGCTAGACATACTTTGTATACTGGGCCAAAACCTCCCTGTCCAATCTTATTAGCAGAATGAAAGTTGTTGGTTGAGACTGCGAGCTTTGCAAATTCAAACAGTGGTAGTTCCTTTAGCATCTCACTAGAGATTTCATTGTCTATGATTGTCAATGGTTCTTCTGTTTATGGCAATAACAAGCATTTACATTCATAATGGCAAAAGGGGGAAAAAAACAGTTCACATTTAAAAACAAAAAATCTACATCTATTGGATGGCTTCTTTTGTGGCTTTATTATGCAAACCCAAAAGTCTATTGATGTGCAGAAGACATTTCAGGTCTGGCAATATGAAAAGAGAATGTCGTAACTAATGAAAAATGCTATGCAAAATCAATTAAACTGGAAGTTGAATCAACTGTGTATATAAACGTTGGCTTTTTTTCTTCTAAATAATTCTCTTAAGTTTCCATTTTGATAACACATTACTGTATCGTCATTTCTTTTACAATTGAAAATTACTTCAGTTTCAATAGTTGAAACTGCAAGACCACATTGGTAAATGAAAATTAATGTTCTCATATACTGTAATTGTTGTCGTATACCAAAGTTCACAAAAAGGAAAAATTATAATTACAGAACAATTTCCTAAGTAGCCATGTATTGATGTTTTCTTAGAACCTCAAGATAATCAATAATACTAAATGAATTGATCTGCAACATTAGAGTTTAAATTATCCTCATCAAATCAATTGCTTGTCTTTATTCTTGAGTATAATTACCTTGATGTTTAGCGGAACATCTCCATATGACATACGCACAAGCTGCGACAAGAATTGTTCCTATTGTCACTGGAATTGAAATTATAACTGCTAAGTTACTCTTTTCTTCTGCAATACATTAAGATAAAATCATTAGTCTCATTTTTTGCAGATAAGTTGAGGGATTAGATTTCAAGCATTGAGCAAAGAAATTGATGAGTTACCTAGTTCCGAATTTGCCAGACGAATGTACAGGTTGAGACCATCATTTGAGAACCTTTGTATGTCAATCAGATTTTCACTCCACATCATACAGCCAATGCCAGCATCATAGGCGTATGCTAAGCAGGAACAGTTGTTCAAGCACTGGATTCTGCAATCTGGTAATGCTGATACAGTGAAAGTCCCATTTAGTAGGTCTGGAACCTTGGTATTCTCCAATTGCACAAACCCATCTTCATCATCATCATATCCATTCCTGGTTTCATTTTTTACTCTCTCACATTTCAATGGTTTCCTCCTTATGCACCCATTAGTCCAGTTTCCTTCATTCCATTCTTCTGCATTTCTTGGCAAAAAACCTCTCAAACAGCTACAAATTGGCTTTCTTAGTGGATCACAACTGCCAAACGATCCACAAATGCCATAAATGTCACAGTCTGATTGCTGCACTGTCCATTGAGGCACCCACTGTTTCTTATTGTCATCCCAACTATTAAATACCAATTTCCCTTCAAAGTTCAACTTATAGAATGATAATGGTAACTGGTGTATATATACAAAATATACATAGAATGTACCATTTACATTTTGTGAAGTGAATCCATAATTGAGATACTGATTGTCCAAATTGGGTATACCAATGAAGATTCGACCGTCCCACGGACCTCCACGCCAATATGTGTGACTGTTTTTCCAAATGAATGGTTGAGGAATTATAGTAGGTTGAATAGAAGCAGCAAAGCTTCCCATGGATGGATCAAAAGGGCTCTTCCATGATGTCAACATGAATTTCTGACCTTCTTGTGCATTAGAACCATCATTATTGTGTAGCAGTGTTGTGTCAGAAAGATGGTCGAAGCTTTGCCATATAACTTTTCCTGTGATGTTGTTCAGCAGCACAAGATTTCCAGAATCCTGCAGCTGCAAAGTGACATGGGACGTGTCATTATCTGATCCATCTGATGACCAAACAACATGTTCCTTTCCATCTTGGATCACCAGATTGCCATTTTCAGATATCTTGAGAATCCCAGAAGAATCTGTGAGTGGTTCGTTTCTGTTAGCCACCCATACCACACTGGTTTTTAACATGTACCAAATTCCTAGGTAACGATTGGATGAATTCTTGGGGCTGAAAAATCCAAGTGTGAAATTGGTGCTATTAGAGATAAGAGTATCAGGATCTTTCATGCTCTCAGATGCTGTAAGAATATCTAAGCCAGAGGCTAAAGACGAAAAATAGTAAGCACACAGGAGGAAAATTCCTAAAAATTCTTTATAAACTCTGATACCCATTGGATTAGTAATTCTCCACCCAAAAAGAGATGGGCCTTTTGTCTTCTGTTTCTACCCTTTTAACAATCTTTCTTTATGGGTTTTTGCCTTTTAAATGGGTTCATGAAGCATAAATTTTTCAATCGACGGTTCATAGTTTTTCTCTTTGCTCTTGATGAGTACTATTTTCTTGTTGAGAAAGTTACTAATCTGACTTTTCTTTCCCTTTTGATTTCAACTCTTCCTGAAAATGCATTAAGAATTTAATATCACTTAGAGTCAGGAAGTTCCATGCAATCTAATGCAAATAATTATCACGATCGTTATCTGCCGTGCACTAATTTGCAGCTTTACATGTCACCACCTGCGGAACTCCGCTAACTCTTCCAATATCTCATTAATTTGTCAAACAAAGATCATATTGTCTTAGTCAAGAAAATATGAATTTTCCATTCTAAATATTTAAATAAATTTTGCAGCACTCAATTTGTTAGCTAAATGTGTATAAAATGTGGTTTGTCGTTTGTCAATGGTCAAGCTCATGCTATACTAAATAGAATTGACACCAGAGAGTGGAACTGAATGTTAAAAAGAAAAATGGCAGGTTGCTATAATGATATAAAGACATAATGACAGTTAAAAACCATGTAAAGACATTAATGACAATTAAAGGTTTCGAAATATTGAAATGTAAAAAAATAATCTATTGTTTTTATTTGTAATTAAAATATTTTTATTATTGAAATAACAAGTCACTTAGAAATTTAAGAAATTATGCATTTAAAGAAAATAATTAGTAAATATAGAGAAAGTCAATTGTAAATAAATAGATAATTTTGTGAATTTATTGTATGTTATTTGAGAATTTAAAGAAAATCACTTGTGAATATTTGAAAAGTTATTTGTGAATATATGAAAAGTTAGTTATGAATATAAATACTTAAAACCATGAGTAGATCTCTAAATTATTGATTTACAATTAAGGCTTCATATTCATTTACAATTGATGTTCCATGTATTCAAAGGTAATATTCCCTAAATTCACGACTGATTATCCTTGAAGCACAAGTATGCATTATTAATTAAGAGACTATATTTTTATTCACAATGAAGTTTCATGAATTCACTATTAACCTTCTTAAAATTCATAAGCAACAATCATTAAATTCATTAGTGATGAGACATAAATTCATAAAACTATCTGCTTGTTCATAATTGATTTTTTATTGATTTACAAGTTATATCACTTAAATGCACAACCAACTTTACTTAAATTCATGAGTCACATTCCAATAGTTATTTTAATAATTATTTATATTTTAATTGCAAATAAAGACCTTGATCCTTCTATAACATTTCAATATTTTGGGATCTTTAGTTGTCATTAATGTCTTTACAAGGCCTTTAATTATTATTTTCTAATAATAAATTTGCAAACAAGCATCATCCTAAAGGGAGAAAATCTGAAGAAAGTGACAAAAAATATGACAGAATATTGTATTTGTTTAATGGATTTTTGAATTGACCAATAGAAACCAATAGGGGAAATGTCCCTTGTGAATGTGATACGCGTTTTGAATATAAAATTTGGATAAAAGAGAAGAATGGCATGCATTTTGAAATTGCAATCCACATTTAAATTAAAAAAATAATAATAAAAAGAAAGGGAAACAAATAAGGAGTAAAAATGAATTGAGAAGATATGAGAAATCAGAACATGCAGGGATGAATTGCATTCAAATTTTGAAACCAATTTAATTTTTGAGAAATTTGACTATCATATTAATATTATAGCTACACAAAATAAATGTGTTAAAGGTCTATTTACGAACTTTAACCTAACCTTATAAATTAAATTTGAGAATATTTTAAAAAATTTAAAATTAAATAAAAAATATTATGAATGATGATGATGATAATTGTAAAAAGATAATAATATTTCAAAGGTTACAATAATTAAAAAATCATAAATATTCAAATTAAATTTCAATATCTAAAATCTTCAATTATTTCTTTTTATTTTTATTTATTCCTTCAATTTTTTTTTTGGTAGGACGGAGGGGTGAGCCTGACATATTAATTAACTAAGTGAAAAGGGAGGATTCAAATCTCAAACAATCATTAAGAATAAAGTCCCTCAAAAAGGGAGAAACACTATCTGATAAAGAAGAAACGTTCGGCACCTCTTTGGCTAAAATGTCAACCACTTGATTATGAAATCATGAAATGTGTTGAGCATTGGCATTCCACTCATATTTCAAAAGCTTAGAAATCTCAAAGATTGCAAGGCTATGACTGGAAAACACATCAGAGTATGAGCTAAGGATATCAATGAGGGTCTAGCAACTGATTCCAGTGTAATTTCATTTAGTTTGATCCAACCTTTCGGCGGCAGAAGCCAGCAGCACCCAAATCCGGAACATAATTGATGAAAAAGGATTTCCAAACGAGCCATTAAAAAAGTCAAAGGGTCATTGGTTTATGGAAATTTGAGTCATGGAGTAGTTCCTCAATTTTCAAAAGTGTCATATCGAAACTCCCTCAAAATACACTAGTGCAAAATACAATTTTAACAACATTTTTAATTACAATTTGTCAAAAACCTATGACAATATATGAATAAGTGGCTTACTTATAATTAAATATTTAAAGTATTTTATTTATAGCCACAATCCTAAAATTAACTGTCACCATAAATTATTATGAGAAATATTTTAAAAAATTAAATAATTTAATTTAATTAATTAGTTAAAGTAAATTATTACTCAATTGTTTATTATGTAAATATAATTAATTTAAAAAATAACTATAATAAATTCAATTATTAATTATAATCTTAATTATTTTTTATTAATAAAGTAATATTTAAGAAAAATTAATTTACCTAAAATAAGAAATACTAAATGAATTTTGGTTCATAATTTATTAGAATTAGATTATTAATTACTAAATTTTATTTTAATTTATTGAAATTATATTTTTAAATAAATAATTTACTTATTTATGTTTGAATTCAGACATTTGAAATTTTGAATTCAAATTGTCTGAATTCTGACAGTCTTACTAAAGCTATATGTCTGAATTTCAGACATTTTAAAATTTTTAAAAATGTCTGAAATTTAGATTCATGAATATGTGGCGACAGGTGTGAGGGTATGTTTGAATTTCAGACATATTAATATGTTTGAAATTTAAAGATTTTAACAGTAATGGGATTTTTTCATTCAAGGCAAAAAAGCTGTACAATGGGGTGAATATATGCAAAGACTATATGCTAAACTACCGCCTATAATACCTCCTGGTATCCCTCGTGATTGTATTGTATATAATATATGCATTTAAACTGACTGATTTGTGATCCCTATGATCACACTGCTCGGTCAAACAATATAACATTCATATGCATGTTCAGCCCAAGTCCAGTACAGTATGTATCAGCCCATCACGTAAGCCTATCATGCATGCACTCATGCATCCTTTCACATGCATTCTTTCACTCCCCTTCAAGTTAGGGTGTGGAGATCTGCAACACCCAACTTGCCCATCAAATCATCATGGTGTTCTCTACTCAAGGCTTTTGTATAAATATCTGTGACCTAGTGTTTCCTCTAGATTTTTCATGGAGCTATCTCTCTAGACTGTATGCATTCATGAACAAAGTAGCAATCCATTTTAACGTGCTTGGTTCGTTCATGAAATACAGGATTTGCCACAATGTGAAGTGTAGCTTGGTTGTCACAGTAAAGTGGAGTGGGGCCTGAATGTTGAATCCTAAGTTCTTTGAGCAACTACCTTAACCACACAATCTCACTAACAGTGCTTGCCATCAAACGATACTCCGCTTCTGCCGATGACTTGGACACGACACTCTATCTCTTAGAACGCTATGAAATTGGAGAACCACCAAGGCTAATAAAGTATCCCGTACATGACCTCCTTGTCATTAGGCAACCTGCCCAGTCGGCATCACAGTATGCCAGTAACCCCAATGAGCCAGAACTTCACAAAATAATTCCTTGACCTGAAGTTGCCTTCAAGTAGTGAAGTATACATTCTGCTATGTCCATATGTATCTTGCGAGGAGAGCTATTAAATTGACTCAGCACATTGAGCACATGAGTGATGTCAAGTCGTGTGATCGTGAGGTATTTTAGTCTCCCTAACAAGCGATGATATCTCCCTTCATCTGCATATGGGTCCTTGTCTATCGGTCTTAGTCTAAAACCTTGTTCCATAGTTATGTAGCAAGGCTTGCAGCCCAACATTTCATTGTCCCTCAGAATGTCAATAACGTACTTGTGTTGGCTAAGCATAAAGCCTTCATTGGAGAGAGCAACTTCGATGCCCAAAAAGTATTTCAACTTTCCAAGATCCTTGATACTAAAATGCTGATTAAGAAATGACTTGATGTTGTTCATGTGTAGGATTGTTCCCAACTAGAAGAACATTGTCCACATATATAAGAGCTGCTGTAAATCGCTCCCCCTGTCGATGAAGGAAGAGTGAATGATCTGCAGAAGAGTGCACAAAACCACAAGCAAGAAGGGTAGCAGTGAACTTGTGATACCAGTTGTGAGATGCTTGCCGCAGACCATATAATGACTTTCGTAATCGATTTAATTAGGTTAATTAATATTTAGTTTAAATCAATTAAAATCAATCAACTCTTGGGATTTTTATTTTAATTTAACTACATTAAAAAGATTTGAATTTAATCTTTAACACCTCTTTGGGAGATGACCTAGGTTGCCACTATATTATATAGTTGATTAATCTAGTCTAAATTGCTAAGTGGGCGACTACTTGATTCATGGACCTGTGGATGTTATTGGCTTCCAAGTACCATTGTTAGAGCTGGTAATTTAGGCTAGCTTGGCTTATTCAGATCAGGCTTAAAGTATCATACCTTTTTTAAAAAGCTTATATAGTCAAGCCTAGCTTTAACACCTTCGGGCTTATTCAGGCCGATTCAAATACCCAAAACTTTTAAAAATATTTTTTCCTTTATTTTTTGAACTAATTTTATTTTTTAAATAGTTATGTCAAGTATAACATAGTATTTTAAATTTAAAAGAATAAAATAAAAAATAATAACTTATCAACTTTGTACTTAAATAGCTCTATAACATAGTATAACTTATTGTATTATGTGTAATTTATTCATGAATATTTTCTTTGCTTATAAATTAATGTCTTAATTGTTTAAATATTTCTCTTATCATAGTCATATATAAATATTTTATATATTTTAATTAAATTATATTATTTTAATTATGATCAAGTTGATCTAATTCAATTATGGTTAGACCACTAACTTAAAATTATTATCCCAATTAGTTTAAAATTTTTAATAACTGTTAGATATACTACACTTTTCGTTTTTAAGAATATAAAAAAATAGACATCATTATATTATATAAAACAAAATTATTTAATTATGAGTAAAATACTATTTTTTTAAATTTTTTTTCTTTAATTTTTTACATTTTTTAATCTCTACATATAAGAGATATTGACTCTAATTTATTCTTAATTTTTAACTAAATTTGATGTGAATGATAATCAAATAATTATTCAAGAATATTATTCTATTTATTATGTTTATTTAGTAGTAGAGCCAAGAATTCTTACATGTCCAAATTTTATTTTTAAACTTATTTGTAATTTTATTTTTACTTTAGAATTAATTATCTTATTTTATAAAAAAAATAACATATTTTTTAGATACACAAATGATGTATAGGACTCAAGTTTTTTAAAACAATGGGTCTTAAAATATAAAAATAAACATTAAAATATATTTTAAATATTATTTTGAGATATTTTATCAACTAAAAATAATAAAAATATGAAAATGTAAATATTTTTAATTTTTTTTAAAATAACTATAGTAATGCACTCAACTATATGGTATTCTAGCATAAAATGATATAAAACTTAAAAAAATTAATTAATATTTATTATATTTTATATATTTGAAAAATTTTTATTTTTTTTATTTAGGTATTTAGGTCAAACCCAAACTCAGTTGAGCTTGGCCTAAATTTTCTTGAGCCTAATCAGGCAACTCGAATAAGCCTAAACATTAAAAAATTATTATTATTTTAAGGCTTGGCCCTAAATCTTTTGGGTAGGTTTGGCTTGGCCTAAATTATCGACTCTAACTATTATGAATTGCATCACTAATTATATGGGTTAACCTATCCATACATAACACAAATTGAGATGGTAAAAGGGGATCTCCTTCATAGAGACCATGAGCTGGAGGGAAAAAAAAGATTCCAACTAATGAACACAAATTGTTACAACACAAGTGTACATGCCAAAATGCAATATAATGGTGTGTCAAGGTTGTTCCTACGAGGAATCAAACAAAATAACAACTTAGACATTAGAGTCCCCATTTTCATTTGTGTTAAGCAAAACAAATTGGATATAATTTTTACACATTAAAATTGAATTTCTAAAAAAATGCACTAAAGTTATCAATTCAATAACCACTTATATTCAAGGCAACCTAGAGTCACTAATCCCTTGCTAGATTCTTAGACCTTGCTTTTACCTAATTAATTAATTTTAATATCAATTTTATTAATTTAGAGTATTTATAGCTACAAGGGTTTTCCAAACCCTCTATAGTCCTCTCCCAAGTTAATTATATTATTTCTAACAAAATTGCCCAAGAGGCAAATCTAATTTTGACTCACTCTAAAATGATTATATAGAACACTTAGACATATATCTATCTTAATTGCAAATTAGATAATAATCTAATCCCATAATACTTAATCCAATGATCCAAATGAGATTTCACTTTGCCAAAGGAAAATCCCAATACCAAAAATCATATCTAATTGTGACCAAATATCAAATAGACATTTAAACACAAGATTGAACAATCAAAATCAACATTGAGCATAATTAATAGGTAAAAACAAACTTCAATCCTCCAACAAGTTCATAGCACCTCTAGGCCAAGTATAAGTTAGCCACACAAAGCCATTAAAACAACCCATCCAAGCTAATGAAGAGAAAGGGAGGAAGAAAGCTTAATCAGAGTGATTTTTGTCAAAAATCACAAGACCCAAGTGTTCCTCAAATTTCTCCAACTCCTTCTCCAACTTTGGAAGCTCTAAGGATGAGTAGTTACTTGATATTTCCTCCCCAAAAATCTTAGAATGCTTCTATAAGTGATGCCAAGCATTTTGTAAAAATTTGTCTGTTGTCGCAACATCCTACTTGTTGCTACTACAATACTATTTAGAATTAAATTGGGTTAAAGTACAAATCTACTATCAAAGTTTTCACACAAGTGTACCTCATATTCTCAAGTTTTTTTAGCTCAATTTCACCTTAGGGTTTTTCAATTTGGTATAGTTTGCCCCAATTGTTAGTTGACCATTAACTTATTAAATTTAATCATAAATGCCTTGTGGGATGCATGTAGGAGTCCATGTGAGAAGTCTTTTCTATTATCTTTGCTGCATTAATTCCTTTCCTTCTTCCTCCCTTCCCCAATCTGGAAATTGATAAGCTAAAACAATTCCTAGAAGCAAAACAATTCCCTAATAAGCAAGAAAAAAACCTAAGCTATATAAATTTTAGTCCGATTCCTAGAAACTAATAAACAAGAACAATTAAACCCACCAAATTAAGAACACAAGGCAAGAATAACCAAGCAAAAGTAGAAGACAAGGAAGGGAACTGGTTCGATCATGGTGAAAATAAATCAACACAAATCAAAATAAAAATTTTATGACAAAATTAGATCACATTTTACAACAAAATTCAACCAAGAATCAAATGACCTTGGAACCAAAATGAAATATGATTATTGTTGAAGAAGAAGAATCAAAAGATGTTCTTACATGTTATTCATATCCTGTACATTTGAAAGAAGCGATGGGTTTAACTTGTTATTCAGTTAAAATGATATTTTCTCACATGTTATTCATATTCTTTACAATTGAAAGAGAGGAAGTAGCAGAAAAATGAAGGGTTTTTGAATGTTGGTTTGGGAAGAAGAGGAAGTAGTAGAAGAAGTGGCTGTGGCCATAGTAGAAGTGGGAATAAGGAGAAAATGGAAGAAGAAGAGGCAGATTGCCCTCCTATGTTGCTTCCGCCATCAAAACCAAAGTCTCAAGTGAAGATTCATCATCATACAATGACCAATCAATTTTTGTAGAATTTCATTTGGGAATATTTTTAGTCCACGCCAGTGAAAAACTAGTCAATATATGCTTAAATGTTAGCTAAATGATTAATGTTTGAGGGATTTGATGGATTAGTTATTGTTGCACTAATAAAGTAACATTTTGGGTATTCCTACCATTTTTCTCACTTTAGGTTATTGGATGCTCTTGATCGACAACTTTATAAGTATTTTTACCCCTTTTTTAGTCCATGTCAATGAAAAAAAAATGATCAACATTTACTTAGATGTCACTTAAATGGTTAACGTTTGTTGGTTTTAACTAATTGGTCACTCTTGCACTAGCTTAAGTAACATTATTGATATTTTTGTTTTTTTACAGCTATTAGATGCTCCTAGGAAACGACTTCGTGGGTATTTTTGTCCCTCTGTCTTTAAAATAAATTATTAGATAAATTTATATTTGGACTTAAGTTTTTATATTCCACATATGAATTCTTTATTGCACTTTATTTTTAATTAACATTTATATGATTATATGATTGATGAAATATACGCTTAAATTTTATTTTTAAAATATATGAGAATTATAAATAATTTTTTGTTTAACATAGAAAATAGATAAATCTTAGATATCTAAACTTCACAACACTAGAGAATATTTGAATGGTTTGACTATATTTTTCTTTTAATAATAGTGATGTTGAGGGTAAAATAATCTGTCCATGTCCCAAATGTTATTTAAAAAAATGGAATTTTTCAGAAGATGTTTGCAACCATTTAATTGCTAAACAATTTCATCCAAAATATATTTGTTGGGCTGTACATGGTGAAAAATGTGAATTTAGAGTACCTTCTCTTAGCAGACCTGTTGTTATAGAAAATGTAACCCCATGATAATGAGATGGGTGATCATATTCATGAAATGGTTTATGATGCTTTTGGGATGCTAGAAGAAAATGTAACTTCAATTCAAGCTAGGGTATAATCACAAAATCAAAAATAAGGGAATGAATAAAGAGACCTTTTTTTTTTGAATTGGTACAAGATGGGCAAGAACAATTATATGTGAATGTGAGAAATATTTAAAATTATCTTTTTTATTAGATTGTACCACATTAAATATTTATGTGGTATAAGCAACAAGACTTTATCTATGATTTTTGAATTATTAGCAAATGCCTTCCCATTTGCTAAAATTTTTTCTTCTTTTTATGAAGCAAAAAACTATCACTAAATTAGATCTGAATTGTAAAAAAATTGATG